TGTGAGTCACTGAATTCATGATGGGAGAACTTTTGTCATGCAAATCACACGGTTTCATGACAAAGCGGGCAGGTGCAGAAGAAATTCAAGGGTTCTTCCTTTGTGAGATCCGGCTTTGCATCCGGCCATCAGCGGCCTGGAGCAAATATTATATTATATTATAATATAAATAATATGTGATCATTACAAAATACGGTCTAGCTAGAAGGATCAGGGTCATATGGCTCCAGCCAGTGCTAAAGTACATTCTTTTGAGGGTTGGAGACATTTTAATTTTGGGGAAACCATATTAAAACTTTAGTCTTTTTAAAAGTGCAAAGAATGAGTTAAATTCACAAAAGGATGCGTTATTTGTATCCATGATGCGTTTGTATTTCCATTAGATCTGAAGATGACTACTCGGAGGAGGAAGATGACGAGGAAGAGGAGGAGTACGATGGGGAGATCCCTCAGCCGGAGCTGGAGCCACGGAGTCGCAGATGCTTCGTTGGAGACGCCGGCATATCCGTCATTCCGGGGGGAAATAGTAGTGAGGAGGAAGAGGAGGAGGAAGACGATGAAGAAGGAGGAGTGCGTGGGGAGGACAGCGACTCAGACGGTCCTGTGCTTTATAAAGATGAAGACTCGGAGGAGGAGGATGAGCCCCCACTTAGTAAGCATAACTGCATGTCATAAACATATGTAAACATATTTATATATATACATATGTACACATATATTTTTAAAACTTCTGTAAAACCCGGATTTTCCCCGGATCCTTCCCACCTGACCGCATCTCTGCTCGGCTTCTGTCCAGGCGCCCTGGCCAGCAGGGTCAAGAGGAAGGACACCTTGGCCCTGAAGCTGAGCGGCCGTCCCTGTGCCCCGGACAGGGACGGCTTCATCCATGAGAGGAGCAGCAGAGACAACCAGCCGCCAGGACAGACGGGCCTCACCTGGCAGAGCCGGGAGCAGTGGGAGGCCATCCGCACACAGATCGGCACTGCACTCACCAGGTAAAGAGCGGCGTCATCGCACCACCGGGCAGAATGTAGATTCCTTTCAACAGACAGTGCGCGTGTCTGTTTACGAAAGAAATTCTTAGATCTTTGTCCTACTTACTGCCTGAATGACGAAGCGATGGAACCGTGTAAAAATAGTTTCCTACTCTCTTTTTTTCCCCTCAATTAAGGCGCCTTAGCCAGAGACCAACTGCTGAGGAGCTCGAGCAAAGAAACATCCTTCAGCGTTAGTATCCAAGCTTTCTTTCCCTTTGCCGTTGTAATAATGCCCTCACTCGGATGCTTTAGTTTTGAGTCTGCTGCTCTTTTGCTTGTTTGGTCGAATTATTTTTATTGTATTGTAGCTTTGTTCATGAATTGCTTTTGTTTATGTACAAAAATGTACACATTTAAACCAGCTCAGTGTTTAAAGGAATACTAGTTTATAAATGAACTGATGAGCAATAATTTCAGATTGAAAAGACATTCAAAACACAGACTACATTTGACTATCTAATTTTAGAAACTCTTTTTATCTTTAGTGCATGTCAAGTCTGGCTTTCACGCAGAATCTAAATAAAGCTCTGCTAGTGTTTTTTTCCCCTTCCCTCTCTTTTATTCAGCCAGAAATCAGGCCGACAGACAAGCTGAGGTTAGAGAGATCAAGAGGAGGCTGACCAGGAAGGTGAGCCAACACATCCACAGCACAGATCCAAGTTCCAACCCATTGGCTGGATATTAAAGTGACATCTCTTTATTGCAGCTGAGTCAAAGACCCACGGTTGCTGAACTACAGGCAAGGAAGATCCTGCGGTTCCACGAGTACGTGGAAGTCACGGACGCCCAAGACTACGACCGGAGGGCAGACAAGCCGTGGACGAAGCTCACTCCTGCTGACAAGGTGCTCATTCCGTTTGCCGAGTAGAGCGAGCGCCTGACAACCTCGATGACTCTTGCAGCAGTGGATTGTGGTTTCACGTAATAATAATATTATGGGTGACGTTTAAGCTTCAAGGGTCTCTCTCTTTCCTCTTGATTTATCCAGGCGGCCATCCGGAAGGAGCTCAACGATTACAAGAGCACTGAGATGGAGGTCCACGAAGAGAGCAGAATCTACACCAGGTACGCATTTTATCCTCGAGATCTCAATTGTGGTTGATTTGGCGAGACGCTTGGTTGCCGTGGTAACCGCAAGTACCGTTTAATTTGATAGCGAATATTCTGTGTGCAGAAGCGCAACAGAAGAGCAAGAGGCGCATCTTTTTACAAACGAGCATTAAAGTCATGGGTTTTTAATAAAGAATTCATTTAATTATTGACTTCAATGACACACTGTTTATGGCAAATAGCTTTTCCCACAGCAGGGGAAGAGAAAGAAGGTTGATATCTTGCATCTTCATCTATTATTTTACTTTGGACTGTTTCTTCTTGTTTCAATAACAGCTGTCATCTCATCCTGAAATATGCAGGAAATATCTTTTTTCTCTTTGTCTTGTCAAGTAAGGATTACTCACAGCGTCCAACACTTACGACAAATACTTGCCGTTTCCGGGGAACACTTCATAATAAAGTGGATGATATGCATGTGTCGTGTGAATCCCTTGAAAGCAAAGGGAATCCAGAATGAGTCAAAAAGGATAAAAACTGCTTTATTAAATTGTATTTGAACCTTAAGGATTGTAACTTTAAACAAGACTATGAACGTCTGTTCGTGCCTCATCTCTATGTTTTGTTTAGGTTTCATCGGCCTTAGACCTCCGCCCACACTCCTTCACGGATAATGAAGCACTTAAAATCTCTGCGTCGCCAGAAGCTGCTTTCCATGCGGACGGATGGCAGTTTTACGTCTCCCGAATGTACTGTACAGATTATCAGAGGACGCCTGGAACTGAAAATGCCTCCCGCTTGCCCTCCATCGCCCTCCCACTACATTGCTTTTACTAAAATGAGGTGGTGAGGACCAGATGCAGTATTTCTCCCAGAGAACAGGGGAAGCCACGTGCCAATGAGGTGGGGAAGTGGCGGCGGACATACCGGGCCGCCTGTCACTCTGCTGGATGTGGTCCCCCTCAGGGACTTGGATCTAGTGACGACCTTCAATGCGGCCTCATTCTGTGTTGCCTTTTTTCTTCTTAACTGTATATGAAAAGCTAATTCATCCCGTTAATGTAATAACACACAATAATAGTAATAATATGATGACTTATAATACTCCAGACAGTAATAATAGATAACAGACAGCAGCTAGAGCAGACTGGAGGATGAAGACTGGGATATTCTGTTATAGGACTGGACATCTCTGGGATATTATGTGTTTTATATCAATTGTGTACAGACTGCTATTGTTATATCTTAGAAGGAAATCTGGAAAGATCTAATTACAAAATATTCTGTAATGCACAACAATATTTTATATTGTAATTTTGATTACATGAGTAGTGACAGCTTTTATTTGAACTTGTTTTGCTTGCCTGTATTTATGGTTGTGATGTGAGGTGGCCATTTAAGCATCAATGTCGATATAGAAAATGGGTGCAGGTCAGGAGGCTTGTTGGTGTTTTTATGTGTGCCAACATACCCAATGCCAAGAACGTATAGGATACTGATTTTCATATCACTAATTTCTGCAATCCACTGCATGAGCCAACACAGATTCCAATGCGATGGATCTGGATAATCTCTCCATTTATACTTTTTTTTAATGAGTTTTTGTACTTCCCTTTAATGATCAACATGCAATGCATTCTGTAACCATTTTGAATAAGGTCATGCTGCTAGTGTCTATACTTGGAGTGAAATGTAAGTTGCTGTGCTTGTAGATCAGGGATTTATAAAAAAGATTTAAAAATGTATAAACGGTCAACAGGGAGTCATTTTGGCTGCAACCTTTTGAAACAGAAGCAGAAGTGTTTTCTCTTGTATTGTTGTCTGGCCAGTAGCTTACAGAGTTCTCTATGCTGTGTACAGGTTGGTATAGGTTTAACTAACGTTGTATATATCTTGTCTTCCTTTCATTTGAAAAGAAATTTCAACTATAAAAGTATTATAGGTTGCTATTTTTTTAAGCACAGAATATTAGTTCATGATTAAATGCTACAAGAATGGGAATATGAAAGTGTCCCTTTTCTGTTAAAACTGAGTTCCTTTTTAATTGAATGTGGAATTGTACGGACTGACTTTTTTCTGTTTGATTGTAAATAGTCACCTCTGGATCTAATTAAAAATCTTACAATTCCTTGAACATTGAGCAATCCTCTGAGACTGGCTTTTTAATTAATCTGAGTCTTACCTATTGTTGAGCTTAAGAGACATTTTCCATCCATCCATCCATTATTTTATAGTCACAAGATTATTCGAGCTAAGGAAACTTTTGAACTTTTAAAATTAAAATATGATACTCCAGTGACACCTTGTGGCACGGTATGTTTGACTTTCACTCTGAGGAGCTAAACCTGGAGATAGTGTTTAAGGCGAAATCTAATAAGAGATATTGTGTGAAGAGGGGATGTAGTAAGGTTAGGAAGTTGCATCGTTGTAGCAGTAGAACAATAAACAAAATACATGTACAACATTAGAGTATTGATTAAAACTAAAACGTTTTGGGAAAAAGATAAATCATCAGATTGCATAACAAATCACATGGCCCATACTGGGCGATCAGGTGAAAAAGAAAATACACAAACTGTAAACTACACAAAACGATTTAGCTAGATTACCAGATGCATGATAAAAACAGTAACAGTAAACACATTACCATTAAAACCGGAATGTTGTGTTGACAGTGATAGAAATAAACTAGAATACAAAAACCATCAGAGAACAAAGACTGAACTCAAACTAGACCGTGTAAAGCCTAATATACGGTAGAAACTAGAACATTACATTACTTACGTAAAGACTATACATTTCATAAAATAAATACAGAATGGAGCAGACATTTTCCTTCACAATAAGTCATTTTCCTTTCATTAGTGTCAATGAAACCTAATTGATTTCAGTGATTACAGGACCTTTCAGTTCTCGAGTGGTGCTGCTGTCCCTTTAAGGAGCTGCTGGTTGCCCAACGTGACGTCATGCGGGTGTCCAACTCTCGACCGGGGAAAAGGCTGCACGCTCACTTGTAGGCAAATTTACAAACTTCTACACAACGCAGGTTGGTAAGGTACCATTTGCCGAATTGTCGAGGCGGGAAACACGAGAAAAGATAAACGCTACTTACTGATGATCCACGTCACGATGTGAATCAATAAATGAAGTTCATTCATTCGCGAATGTCATGCTAACGGTGCTAGCGAGTTTGCGCTAACGTTAGCTAACAAACTGCCGTGAACCTTTTGCTTCGCAGTGGCGACTGTTAGCTATGGTTAGCATGCTTTAATGCTAACTGAGATTTTCACCTAGATATTCTATGATTTTGCATCTTACATTAACTAACTTTATCGGTACCCGACTGTGTGGCATTTATCTGCTATGAAGAAGGCTGGGTCTGCTGTAGGCTTCTGCTAGCTCGGTAACTTGTTAGCAAGGACACATGGTTGACTTAAGTTACTGCCAATGTTGCTTCACGTTGCTTTTAAAGAAACTGCGTTATGCAACTCCTGCTGAATATTAAAGTACTGGAAGTACTCTCTAGATAACTATGTGCATACGAAAAGTGTGTCACTGAGAGCTGAGCTGGACTCCGCTTGGGGTCGTAGCAGTTATTGTTGGGACTTGAAGAAGCACAACTGTCCTCCGGGTGAAATAATATCTCACTGTAGCAGCCGTTCATGTGACTTTCTGACAGCTGTTACACCCCGAGATCTTCTTTTGGCAAGCGCTCGTTTTCCCCTCCAACATCCGAGAGCTGTTTGAATTTCAGCTGCTCGTAGATGTGAAGTTCAGGCATTGTTGCTCCTCATTTTGGCTTCAACTGTTTCTCAGCTGATTCCTCCCTGACTTTTAATAATCTCTGCAGCCCTATTTGTATTTTTTTTTTAACCTACAGCTGAATGTTTTTAACCGATTTCTAATGTATGATAAGTGTCCTCTTGTGTTTTTTGTGTTTAGTCCTCACGTGTTTCCAACATGCCTGCTAACAAGACTGCTGCCAAGAGGAAGTCTGAGCCTGTTGCTGGAGAAAATAAAAACCCCAAGAAAGTGAAAGGTGAGTCGCTGTCCTTTTTGAGAAAAGCCCAGTCGATGGTGGAAACACGGCTGGACTAAACAACAACCTACGTAGACGCCATAGAACCACATCAAAGTTCTGTTAGGGTAGTAACACGCACCGTTTGAGAGGAATGCATGTCACACAGTTTTAACACGTTTCCTCATGTCGAAGGCTAATTGTTTTATTATTCAATGCCACGTTCCACATATCCTTGTTAGACTTTGAAGGTGTGAGATCAAGTTTGTTTGCATTCTTCAGTGTCGCACAGGAGTCATGGCAAAGAGGCGGGCCAGGTTCTTGTCCTGGGCCAGGGGGACGTTGGCCAGTTGGGCCTAGGCGAGACCACCATCGAGAGGAAGAAGCCGGCCCTCGTGTCTCTGCCGGAGAAAACCGTACAAGTTGTGGCGGGGGGGATGCACACGGTGTGCGTCAGTGAGACTGGCCACGTGAGGAACAGCCTTGATCTATTGTGTGGTTGACATCTTGACTAGTCTGCAGTTTCCCCGCGTGAACTTTTTTTTTTTCTCCTCCTCACGTCTAGGTCTACACCTTTGGCTGTAACGACGAAGGTGCTCTCGGTCGGGACACAACGGAGGAGGGGTCTGAGATGGTTCCAGGAAAGGTGGCGTTGGAGGAGAAGGTGGTGCAGGTGTCGGCAGGAGACAGCCACACAGCTGCACTCACAGAGGATGGAACGGTCTACGTATGGGGCTCATTCAGGGTGAGTTTCTCTACATGAAATCGGTACTTCAATAATATTTTTGAATTTTTGCCAATCGGGTGTGCTTTACGACCATAGAACCTTTACATTTCATGCAACTAGCTTAACCCTTTATCTGTTATAAAGACAAGTTCTGCCGATTTAACAAGTAGCTTAGATCAGCAACCTATGTTGATTATATAATGGTAGGAGAAATGCTGACATTACTGACGCTATTTCTGACTTTGCTTACTGGGCATCAGAATATTCACATATGTGACGTATTTAATAATTGAACAGTGGTACTTGGCATCCAAGTAGGTAATTGAAGTGTGTGTGCTGCTTCACCCAGCGCTGTCGTTGCTCATGGAACCCTCCAAGAGGGAATTGGGTCACTTGAAGATGAAATGTTCCCAGTTTTTTTTTTTTTTTTTAATCAGCTATCATTAAACCAGGCCAAGCCAGTCGGGGACCAAAGTGCTCCTGTTTACCTTCGCTCTTCTTTCACGGTCTGTGAGCTTTGTGTATCTGTGGGTTTACTGTACCCGTTTCCCCCCAGGATAACAGTGGGGTTATAGGACTTCTGGAGCCCATGAAAACATGCACCACTCCAGTCAAAGTCCCCATGACAGAACCTGTTGTGAAGATTGCATCTGGTAAGAAGTTGTCCTCTTAGTGCAACATTTCTTTGTTGAAATGCACAACTCATTGTTTCTGTTCAATCTTGAATACTTGCACAGGTAACGACCACCTTGTACTGCTTACGCTGGAGGGAAACCTGTACACATCTGGCACCGCAGAGCAGGGGCAGCTGGGAAGAGTCCCTGAGCACTTTTCAGACCGAGGAGGCAGGAAAGGTCTCGGTAAGTGACGCATGCTTTTGGAAGCAAAACTACTCAGATTTATTAAAACAAGTATAGAAGACATTCTCCGTGTACGCTCATCTTAGATGACATTAAGAATGGAATGTGTAATGTACTTTACTGTGGCGTTGTCGTGTTATTTCAGGCCGGTTGCTGGTACCACAGATGGTGAAAATCAAAGGGAAAATTCACTTCGTAGATGCTTTCTGTGGAGCGTACTTCACCTTCGCTGTGTCTAAAGAGGGGCCTGTTTATGGATTTGGTCTCTCCAACTATCACCAGCTGGGTTAGTATTGCACATCACTGTTTAGTTTTGATAATGTCAGTTGTTATGGTAACGGATGGTGCCTGACATTGCTTTACGGACCTTCTGCTCCACGCTAATTTAATCGGACATTGTGGGATTGTTTCATGTAATTGTGCACTTCTTTGTTCGTTCAGGGACTAAAAGCACCAAGATGTGTTTTGTGCCAGTAAAACTCACGTGCTTCAAAAATTCCACCACCTGCTGGTTGGATTTCTCTGGAGGACAACATCACACACTCTGCCTTGATGCCGACGGTAACAACTATTTCAGTACTCACACGGCGTGTGGTTCCATCCAAAGTGTTTTTGTAAAATAAATCCCTTTTCTATACATTTTTAGGACAGGTTTATAGCCTGGGCAGAGCGGAATATGGCCGCCTTGGTCTGGGCCAGGGAGCAGAAGAGAAATGTGAGCCCACGCCAGTGACTGGGATAGAGCCAGCCAGTGGACTGGCATGTGGGGCCTCCGTCAGTTACGCCGTCACCAGAGAAGGTGAGAGCACCTCATTGTTTGCGGTGACATAATGGGGGGTTCAAACCGGGTCCGGGCATGAAGCTAGTTTGCCCTGTGACATATATAAAAAAAAATTTTTTACACAAGAAATGCTTTTTGCTTCTGCACTGTTGCAGAGTCAAAAAATGCAAATTATATGACCAGTGATTAAATTATTTTATATACATATATTTGGTAAATATGTATTTTTTTTTTTTTAACATTGCTTTTGATATTTTATACATGCTAAAGTTCACATTGGATGATTTCTATAATTTGGGATTAGTTCAAATTCGTTTCCAGGAGGCTCGTGAGAAAAATGTGAGCGTGCTGCAAACAGTTTATCTAAGTATACTTAGACGTAAAATGAATATCCGTTACTACAGCTAACTGCTAGCAAAGAGAGCTACAAATGAAGGATGCTAATCTCCCTCGCTGTTGGCTGTGCTCTCTCCAGGGTCTGTGTATGCCTGGGGCATGGGCACCAACCTGCAGCTGGGAACCGGCGAGGAGGACGACGAGTGGAGCCCTGTGAAGATGACCGGCAAGCAGCTTGAGAACCGTGTAGTACTGTCGGCCTCCAGTGGGGGGCAACACACAGCCCTCCTGGTCAAAGACAAGCAGGAGAGTTGATGCCCTTCACACACGGAGGCGTTTCGATGTTTCACGCCGGGGCTTTTTTCCCCATGATGCCTAAATCTGACGGAGGTGGTTGAGGTGACTTTCCTCGCTGAGCCGAGGGATTGTGAGCGTTTTTTGAGCCCTTTTTACGAACTGTCCCTTGTGAGAGAGAAAAATGTTCATGATGTTAAATAGATCATGACAAAGGATGTTTTTTGTTTTTTTTTAAATCTAGTTTTGGATGTTCTTTTTGAATACTTCAACAAAAGTCATTAGTATGACTGTGTTATATGAGATGTTTGAATGTGACTGATCGCATGTGCGTCAAGGAAATGAGAGCGCAAGCCTTTTTATGACTTACCCCAAACAGCAGTGTTTTAACCATTCTATTTCTTAGCAATAATTCCACACACCTTGGTTCAGGCAGGACATTTCTACTCATCAAGTTATGGGAGACTACCACTTCATTTTACCAAGACCCGCAATTGTTGGGACTATTTGGTAATGTGTCATACTGTATCTTGCATTTTGTTGCTTTTCCTGTCTGAAAATAAAGATAGCATTTTAACTTTTTACGCCCATTCTCTTCCAAGGCATCGAACATTTTGCAACAGTTTTTACAGTGAAAAATCAAACGTTTGCTGACTTCTCGTTTCTCCGATATCACCATTTGGTTGCTTATCTTGGGATAGTGCAAACCAAAATGTTATCTACAAAGGCCGCTGTTGCTTCAGAAAACATTTTCTCAAAGACAATGCATGGTTGAATCAACCAAATAGTTAAAGGTTATCTATATTAATGATAACATTAATATGGCATATAAAAGTTATGTATACTACATATGTAGTTAAGTATGTTAAGATCCGTTTGGTTGTGTATGTTTTTTGTTTTAGCCTGGTCTACGTAGCTGCCTGTAAATGTCCCGCTGGCGTGTTCACTTTTTAATGCTAACAATGTGTAGTGGTGGCTTTTAGGATTAGCTGAAATGTATAATGTAAAAACCTCGGCAATGCATAAAACTATTACGGAGCAAATCGTCTCTTCCCCAATATGGTAAAGTAGACTTTTTCCAAATCAAGAGTTTAACATATTTACACAAAGCCCCATCATGGCGGCAAAGCAGTAAGTAGTTAAAAGCCAATGCTGTCATCCAGCTTGTTCACTGACAATGAGATGCTGCCTGGTGCCTTTGTGGCTTTTTTCTCCCTTTTAGCCAGCGTGTGGAACGTTAAGAACTCTTCTTCCTAACGTATTGACGCAGCTGACGAGCAGTTGCACCCAAGCTACTTTGTCTATTATGTATCACAGTCCATCCATCGGGGAACATTTCTGGGTGCAAATGACGGTACGAGTACGTCCATCAAAGCTCCTCTTTCTCCTCATCTGGCTTTCATCTGACCGACGGGGCTGTTGATGAGGGACAGAGGCCGGGAAAAGCCCTTGTGGCAGAAAGCTTCTCAAAAAAGCTTTGAAATGCTGAAGTATCTTTCGTAAGCAGTTAATTGGTCCGAGTGAACCTCTTCCCTTGTTTGTTTTCCGTCCCTGTTCGCCAGAAAAACATTTGGGGGTTCACTGCTCATCGGTAATGTTTGCACAGTGGCCGAGTCTTTTAAAAGAGTGATTGTTGTCAACTGTTTAAAATGCTTCTGTTCTACTTGAATGTCCGCTGCTTTTTTTTGTGTGTGTAAAATGTCAAATTGTTCTGGGTATTAAATGAATTGCAGCTTTCTTCATCATACCAGAAAAAGAGGCTACAAATTTATTCTTAAGCGTTCTGCCAAGATAACTATTTATATGTAAGTAATATATATATATACATACAAAAATGTACATATATATATATGATATTTTTGAGAAAATACCGTGTTTCATTTCTTAAACCTATTAAAAATGCATCTGTTGCCTCTTTCTCCAAAACCCCAAAGGCTGAATTCTTTACCTGTCCTCAAGAAAGGCTGCTGAAAGCATCTGTCATATTTCACCAGCACACAGAAACATTCACGCAAGAACTCGTCCTGGGATTCCTTTCTTCCACTAACGGATGTTTGTGTTATCCGTGTGGGCTCGACTTTTCCGCTGGTCAAATTGAGCACAGTGGAGACCGAGGATTCTCAGGAACCTGCACCGACACTCTTTCCCCCTCCAAGTGGGGGGGGGCACTTTAATCACTCCTGTTGGTTCTGGTGACGCTCTTTGTGCACATAACAGGCTCGTGACTGAATGCCTGAATCCTGTTGACGTTATTATCTTGCAATGGCACAAATGTTGCATCATTCAGCGAGTCAACGTGCTGCTTTATTAATTAACTTGTTTTTTCAAATTGGTTGCAAAGTGCTGCTCCTCAAGTACGACTTAATAGAAAAATCCAGTTTGTGATTATTTATATGCTTTGTAGAGGTCTTAGTGGTTCATCACCACCGCTTTTTCTCTTGTGGTGTAATTGCAAGTCTGAAATCCAACCGTAACGGAAAAAATCTAGCTTTTAAGCTATTCATCCATCTCAAGTAAGTCCTGTGTTTTTGGCAAATGATGTACAAACATTGATGTTACGCCTCCTTTCACACCAGTGTGGAACAACAGATGCATTCCTACAAAAAGGAATGCATATTCTCTAAATAATGGATGAGCAGAACTAATTGGTTGCTTTGGATCCTTTAGATAGAAAATTAAACTTGTGAGATTACCAGTAAAATGATATTTGTGTTAAATTAGATTTCACCCTGAACTGTTTTTCATCCTCAGTAATGCAATCTGTAACCATTCATACGTTTGACCAAAGGAGGATTTTAGACTTATTCAATATCAATAGTACCATAGGTGAATGTGGTTTAATTCACATGTATTGATGACAATTGTAACAACTACCTTGTTAGACAGAAGAAGACATATGACTCCACAACAATTCAATTTGAATTACTTAAGCTCAACAAATTATTTTCAAATGAATCATCCTTCAAGCCAAATGATTAATATTCAGTTTTAAAAGTGAATTCTGTTCCTTTTTCCTTACTGTTTCCTTTTAACATAGAAACTTCAGAGCTTGTGTTATTTCTCGTACACTAATTTAAACATTTGGTTGTGTTTTACTGTATTATATTTCATTTATATTAATTTCTACATTTTATATAACATTTTTACAAATGTTTTTATTTACTCTGCAGATTCTCCGGAAGACATCAAGAAAACACAGAGTAATGCTGCTTTTTACCTTTTCTTATCAACGTTTGTAAAACATTTAAAACAAGCAAATTATTCATGACAAATGCCTCTGGCTGTTACTGATGCATTAAGAGATATATGAGTTTCAACCTGTGTGAAATATTGTTGCCATGGTAGAATAGTGTTTTTGACTTTTGTGTGTCTGTGGGCGTGTGCACAGGAGATCAAATGAATATCTCTCGTTTGCTATTAAGCTGCTGGTTCCCCGTCGCCTGAGGATCACATTAGTAATTACTGGAGATTGCTTTGAGACATTGGACTCTTTGTTCTGGGGGGCCGAGGGCCTCTCGTGAGGCGCGCAGAGGGCCGCCAGATGTGCAGGGGCTTGTGAACAGGAGGAGTGTCTTAATCTGATGCATGGTTACACGTCTGTCACGGCGATCAGGTATCGAACCCTATCAGAGATCAACACGGTGTGTGACTCATTCCTAATTTACTCAATATTGCTGTCATATTGATTCTGTGTTAATTACTTACATAAGTCCCCGTACAGCGTTATCACTATCACATTAATCACCCTCATTGTTATTAACTGCAGAGCTGAAAACAAAACATGCACGTTGTGTGTGTGTATATGAGCCACACACACACACACACACACACACACACACACACACACACACACACACACACACACACACGTATGACCCAATACCTTTAAACAGACTTCGATGCATAAAATTGGTTTCGTTTTCATGCACATTGGTGACTCCATCAGAAGTTTCGTAACAAATATTACAATTTAAATATGTTTCACGCCATCAAACTAGTTGTACACGTCTAAGTATATATAAGAAACTGTTCGGGACCCCAATAATGTTTATACAGCCTACTCCCAGCTGGCAGATGGCACCCAGTTTAAATCCGTGCTTCTGTTCCTCTGCAGGGAGAACTGTTACTGGCTCCTACAGTGAAACATCCAGTAAAACTCGCATAGCCTCAAAGATTTCGCACTTGTGGCATTTCGGAAACACTTCAGGCCTCCAGAAGGTCTGATTATTTATGTCACACGGGGAGTCTGTCAGACCAAGCATCACATCCGTTACCAGATTTTCAGCATGATCAATACCTAAATAGCTACTTCTTTTAGGTGCCTTTTCTTTCCTTCTTTAGTAGTGAGTTTAAATGTTTTTCACTCTTCAGCACTGACGGGTTGTGCGTCAGTGTCTGTGTTGTGTTAGTTGCCTCCCTTACAGTATGTAGTTGTCTGCTGTTAACATAAACATCGGTAATCATTTTGGGGCTTCTGAGCTTCTGAGGTATTCCAACAAATTATTTTCCATTGAAATCATTTGTGTGATGTCCTGCAAGGACTCGGAAAGATACTTGAGGGTGACGGATGCCTTCTTAAAAGGGTTTCTAATTCCTGAGACATCATCAGTCTTTAAGCAGATTGTTATTTCAGCCCTTTAATGTGTTGAAGAAATGTAATCAGAGACCAGTTAACCACAAACAATTGCAAAAAACACCATGAGAATGTATAATTTTCAACACACACTCCTACTCATTTAGGTGTTATAGTTGCATCTTTGTACTTCAGTGTACACAATCCACATCCAATGAAAATCTGAATCATTTATTTAACATACTGCAGTGGTTTATTTTATTTACCCCCCGAGGATGAGAACACATAATCAAGCTCTCTGATTGGCTTTCCTTTATTTTTATGAAAATGTAGTTTATCCAACCGCCCGTCTGTCCATAACCGCATGAATCCCGTCCAGGGTCGCGGAGGCGCTGCAGCCGATCACAGACACATAGAGGCGGACAACCGTTCACGCTCACATCTCATCTACAGGCAACTTGGAGTAGTGGAAGTTAGAAATTGACTTGTTGCCTCTGACCACTGAGGGCTTCCAGGTAAAAGGTACCTGCCCCCCTTCAAAATTCCCCCGATCAGTAATCCATTCTTGATTGTACCAACAAATGACTTGTCTGACTCACACGTGGCCTCACTAGCATCCACGAAGAGTTAAAATGTGAACATCTGTCGTGAAAACCTCAATAAAAGAAGAATGTTGAATTCAAACTACAAACTATACAACTGATGCTATTTGCTTTGACTATGAAATAGCATCAGGTAAAGGTTATTAAATGAATAAAATAGTTATTACACTTATATAATGTTGTTTATATACTCTATCTGCTGAAACACAACACTTTAAAATATATAACATTCAAATATTTGATATTTACATATTTTAAATCTGATGGACATATTTACAACCATCTGCAGAAAACATTTAATAATGATAAATAAAGTTAAAATTAAGATTTTAGCACTTAGTGTAAATACATGGTTCCATAACATTATTTTGTACTAATGAATCAAGTGCAGCTCAATAATACAACAGCTTGACAGCATAAACACAATAAATCACATTACCACTTCATTTGCTGTTACAGAACAATATTATCTTCATCCTTTATATAGAGATGTTTTTGAAGGATTAGAGACATCAGTTTGTCCTCTCAAAATGTCTCAAAATGTCTTCTCACTTCTCCACCGTCATTCTGCGTTTGTCCAAAGATCTTCAGTGGAAACTACTATCCGCAATATGGATAAAAAGCTCCTAGTTCCCTGCTAACGTGTTGGAGTAAATAGAGCTTCAATGCCAGTCTGAGGTCATTCAGTCAACTATGGGTTGAACCCGCAGCGCCACGTTCCCCTTCAGGGCTTCACTTCACTGTCAGCAGAACGTTATCGGGACGCTTTACAAAACAAGGAGCAGCCTCGCTGCTGGAGGAGCACAATGAGTCAGCTGATTACTGATGTTCCTGCTGTACAGACGCTGGAGGCGCAGTCTTCTCTTCTTAATCATACAATTCATTCAAATTGAAAATTGTTCTTGATTTTGAGGGTGACTTTTTTCTGTAATTATTTTGACCGGGGTCATTCGGCTTATTCTTGTAGTTTCTGGGTCGACAACGTTACTGTTTCAAAGCTTGACCGTACACAACACCAGACAGCACAAAGACACCGTCGGCGAGTGTAAAGATGCTGTTATTTCCCTCAGGAGTCGAAGGCTACCAAAGCCAATAAACAAAATAAACTATCCTCTTCTGAGAAGCCAGAAACAGACATAAAATGTATGATAATGTTGCAAATCTAACGGCTAAATGTGTAAATAGGAAATTAGGTCATAAAACTTAAAAGGTGATTAAAGATATCAACTAATTGCCTTGCTTTATATGTTACCCAGGTTTTAGGTAACAGACAAGCTAACATGACTCCACACAGAGTCATCATCTGGGATATTTAGCAGACAGTCAAGCAGGTCCAATACACAGTATCTTCCCCGTTGATCCTTTACTGCGGACGTAGTTACTTCTTGCTGCTGAAGGGGATTTTTTGAGACAGTTTAGTCTTCATCAGGTGAAACACGTGATCTCCTGGATTTGGGTCACATCACTGACTTCAATGCCACGTTGATTACATGTTGGTCCTAAAAAGACTCCACTGGACGACATTCTCTGTGTGTTTAGGATCTATGTCCCGACTGACAATATGATCACCTTTAAACGCCCTTAAAGAACAGAAGCAGCACTTCAACCTCCTGCTTATTGTTATTGACAACACAATACAATACGCACCACCAGGCCGATGCAGTCTGACTGCACTGCGTGCGTGTTTGTCCATAGGGATGCATTGTATATGCACTTCACACACACTCCAAGGACGTACCGGTATATCCTTGTGAACGACAATCCTCAGACCATTGTGTCAAAATGGAAAAAACACAACCGATACTTTACAATAATAGCTGACACCTGCTTACTCAGACTCCTGTAGTGGAGAACTGCGTGACCTCGGTCTGGAGGTCATCCTGAACCTGCCCCCCCGCCCACTGATCCATGCCTAGTCAGGCCGACGGCCTCCGCGCCGTTGCGGGCGCACAAACGGACAGAGGTTCCTTTGTGCTATTGCGCGCCCTGGAGAAGCTGCTCTGCTCCAGGCGCGAGCGGTACGGGAGGCAGAAATCCCTGAAGCACCTTTTGAAGTTCTCATCCAGGAAGGCGTACAGCACGGGGTTGAGGCTGCTGTTGGTGTAGCCCAGTGCGATGCACAGGTGCCAGCTGGCCACCACCAGGAGGTTCTTGCGGTCAATGTCCACCATGGTCCTGACGATGATGAAGATGTGGATGGGAGTCCAGCAGACGATGAAGGCCGCCACGACCACTAAGACCATGCGGGTGATCCGCCGCATGTTCCTGTCTTTCTCTTTGGAGCCGGAGAGCAGACGCACGCTCTTGAGCCGCAGGATCATCAGACCGTAGCAGATGGTGATGACCAGGACGGGAACCACGAAGGCAAAAATGAACACGCCGATTTTCAAAACGGTGTCCCAGTACCGCTCGGGTTTGGGGAATCTGAGTTCGCACGAAGTCTTTCCTGAGGAGTTGAAACGATTAGAAGTTTTATATGTAGCAGCACGTGGAGAAGCTAATTCAACCTCCGGCCCACTTCCTCAAATCAACAATTGCCCGTAAAGTAACTAGTGGGCCATTTTCAGATGTTTTTTTCAACAGTGTAAATCTCCCACCTTGAGGTGTCACCTTGGTAACAGCCATGATCATCACAGGCACTGCGACGGCGGAGGAGAGGATCCAGATGCACACGTTGATGAGCTTGGCTTTGGCGGGCGTGCGGAAGTCCAGCGCCCTGACTGGATGGCAGACGGCGATGTAGCGGTCCACGCTCATCATGGTGAGCGTGAAGATGCTGGTGAACATGTTGTAGTAGTCGATGGCGATGACCACTTTGCACAGCACCTCCCCGAAGGGCCACGTGCCCATCAGGTACTTGGCACTCTGGAATGGGAGGGTGCTGGTGGCGAGGGCGTCGGCGAGAGCTAGGTTGAATATGTAGATGTTGGTGGCGGTCTTCAGCTTGATGTACCTGGTTGGTTTGGGGAATAGCACGGATCGTTTTAACCCATCGTTACAGTCAAGATCTTGTTATTGATGTTATACAATGGCCTTAATTATACTTCTCGCAATTTGTAAGACATACTATATTAGTATGTATTCATATTACTATCACTCTTTCTGACTGACTTTACTCTGATGTTTTCTGACATATTTTTTATATACCACACGACGGACTTTAGTATGAGTATGATTATGACCTTTTTGACATACTATACTTGACACATACATATAGTTGATTAAAATATTTCTCTATGATATGTATATTTTTATATACCATGCGTGACTTTAAATTACATGTTTGAACATACTATATTCTGGTCATTTTCATCCAACTATATTTTAACTTTATTACCTTATTTTTTCTCATAATATACTCTGATTTCATAAGATGTTTTTTAGACATATTTTTGTAAGACTTTTTTGCAAACTATTAGCCTTTTGACATGACGTACTTTTACTCTTGTGCTTTTTCTCAACCCATTTTATCGAAGACAGTGACTTTTTCTACATACTGTGACTGTAGACGATTATTTTGTGGCATACTACATCATGAAAATATTGTTTGTGACAAACGTTTCATTTTCAATGACCCTTCCTTTGACAAATCATGCTCAAACTTTTTATTCGGCTGACAAGGTGTTGAAGTGTTTCAGTATTTATGCATGTGAAGATAAACTGCTCACTAAGCTATAACGTTTCATCTGAGTCTATTCTCATCATCACACACTCACTCTCTCTCGAGCAGACACTTGTTACGCCCACTCTCGACACACAGGCAGAAACCCCTGACAGAGTATGCAGGGCAGGTACAAAGCTGAACACACGTTGCCTAAACAAAGTGATGAGGTGGAGACTTGAAAGTGGTCACATGCTCCACAATATTGTAGCTGCTAACTCTCTCAGAGGGACAAACTGGGGTCTGTTTTCTGCACACAATGCAGGTGGTGGTGGTGAACAATAGATTATCTGTTTGTGCATCAGGCTACAGCTTGATGCCTTGTTAGGCTCAATTTGCTAATGAGAGGTCAACCGTAAAGTGGTATCAGGAGCTGATACTATATTGGTGCATACCATACATTTTTAAGAAACATAACTTTTAACTTAGCATATAACAATAACTTTTTCATGACATACTGTCATGATTGGCCATGCAGGGAAACGGGATTGAACCCAAATGCAGACAGATGGTGAGGCAGCGGGATGAATTCGGTGATTTATTCTCAAACTGTTTACAGCAATCAACACTCAAACTCAGCAGTTTACAGGTAAGTAAGCAGGCAGGTAAACAGTAAACAGTCATGCTGTTCAGGTGACAAGGATGTGGAAAGGGGAAGGGATGTGAACCGATGTGGAGAGTGGCAATGAAATGTAGGCAATGTTGAATTAAAATCCAGGCGAGCTGATGTGGGAAAGGGAAGCAGGTGTGCAGCGGGTCTGAGGGCATCTACTGGATGGTTAAAGGATGGCAGGACGGGGGGCTGAGAGGACTGGGAGGACTGGGAGGACAGGGAGGACTGAGAGGACTGGGAGGACTGAGAGGACCGGGAGGACTGGGAGGACTGGGAGGACTGAGAGGACTGAGAGGACTGGGAGGACTGGGAGGACTGGGAGGAGGGCACAACGCCTGGGGAGTGTGAGCCGGAGCTGGAAACCACCCCAAAACAACATTCATTTGAACTATCCTTTGTCTTGGTTTGATATTTGACAATAATAACTTTATTCCTGCTGTGAAATCATTTTCAAGATTTTCAAAGGTGATCAGTTTTTTTTCTCCATGTCCAGTGACCAGTATGTTCTGAATGACAGCTGTGAGCATCTGGTCCACAATATGACCGTAGTGGTATAAATGGTAATATATGTGTATGAATACATGAATTACCACAGTAATGGTTCTAATTCCACCCCCGTCGAGATGGTGGAAGGGCGCGCGCGCGTGTGTGTGTTAGTGCGTGAGTGGGTGTGAGACACACTAAAACTGTGGGCAAATACAAAGAAGCATAGATATTATACAAAGAGCCATCCTAAATGATCGACATTCAAAATGATTTAAAAAATCCCCATTAAAGTATGTGTTTTTTTGTTTTGTTTTCACTAATCAGTAGATGGTCGATTCCTTACCTGACCACCCCGAACATTACCAGCACGTTTCCCAGCAGCCCCACCGCGCAGATCAGAGAGTACAGCGCCGTGATGCACACGGGGATGAGGAGGCTCGTCGCGTCTCCGCCTGCAGCCCTGTTGGTGTCGTTGATGTCGGGGGACGCGCGCGGCGGGTCCTCGGTGAACGTGACGTTCAGCGGAGTTATGGAGACCGAGTCGTTCCAATCACCCAAAGAGTGCGGAGGAAGTGCCATTTCAGCAGAAGTTCGGGCGCAAGTCAAGAGATTTCCAGAGCAGGTGCACGGGAGCGCACGGGAACCGAACGGCAAACCAGTAATGGGGCGCTCCTCTCTCCCTTTCTTCTCCCTCTCCTCTCCTCTCCTCTCCTCTCCCTATCTCTCTCCCTCTCCTCTCCCCCTCTCTCTCTCTCCCTCCCCTCTCTCGTATGTTTGTGCGTCTCTGTGCGCAAGAGGAAAGACGCGTTTTCTGGCTCAGTTTACGCCCTGGCCAAAGTGATACTTTTTGGCCGTTTGCCAAAGTGGCGTTATTATCTCCTGTAATATAATGTAATATAACGTAATTGCATCCTTATTGACGTCCTGTCGTACTTGCCGCACTACAGCTGATCAAACAAACCCAATCCCATCATCTCTCTTTGTTGCAGCTCGTTTAGAGCCGCTTCATTGAGTCTGGTCGCTGCCTCCCAAACCCTCCGTGGCCCGGGGGCTTGTGCCAGAGTGGACCGACTCTTCTGGACATGAAATTACCATACTAAACCGCAGGAGTTATGTAATTACCCGTCAGTAGCTTGGCTGATCAAATATTTAGCACGGTTTCAATAATCTATGGCAGTGAAGTGTGTGGATTTTGAACTCAATCCTACAAGTTGTTGACCGTCACACATTTGCTGTTTGATGAATTGGGCTGATATCAATTACACCTGGATGAGCGAACCCATTGATCCAGGCACTTATTTGAGAGATCTGTATCTTGGTATTGGATTTTTGGAAGCAATCTTTGTTTATTTTCTAGTATACTTGATCTGCTCAGCCGACAACATCCGACGTAAATCTTGAATTATTCATGTGTTCGACTTTTGAGGCCAAACGAGTCTTGAGCCGCATTTGTCTGTAGCCCATTACTGAGAACATTACCAACCATTAGGAACGTGCAACTGATTGTGTGTCTGCTGGAATTGGCACGTGCCACTGTGCTCTGTATGAGAGGGCCTCTCCAGGGTAATTGTTTATTTGAACACAGCTAGATCTAAATCCTCCTGTGGCTGTGTCTGTAGTGTTTATAACTGTGGCAGTCTGTGCACTCAGCGGGTGACCTTTACAAAATCCGCCTTCAAGCAGCCGCCATCATAGGAACAGTCAGAGGAACAGGGGGGGCGGTGTGCCGATGCCTGCCCCCCCTCCTTTACTGCTCCTTCTAAAGAGAGATGACACGTGTCTTCGTACGACAAAGAGCCGTATTGAAAAGAACTTCAGCGAGCTGATTTATGTTTCATTAATGAGGGATGTTTGTTTGCAGCACTGTTGAGATTTTCTGGCCATAGTTCTCAACTTGATGAGTTTTTAGCCATGTAATCACTTTGGTCCAGACTGAAATATCTCAACAAATGCTCAATGGATTCACTGTTCCCAGTCGATGCATCGTAATAACCTTTGTGTTACCCCAACTTTTTATCTAACGACAACTGGACTGAAGAAGCCTCAATCACAGTCGAACCCAGCGGACCTACGCAGCTGTTCAGGAATAAATTCATTTGAATTTTAGTTACAGCTGTGTGGGAGAACTGTATATGACACCCGCTATCGCTATATGAGCTATGAGGACTTGCAGGGTTTAGATTAAAGTGCTATCCGTCCCTCCAACGAAGAGGCCTAAAAATAATGTAATGTGTGAGTGCAGGGTAGGTGCTCTCTGTAATGGCAGAAGACTGAGTGTACATAATGAGCAATTTTCTCTGTGGTTCTCCGTCTATCTCTGTACACAATGTTGAGATGTGGTCAAAACGTGTTGTGAAAGAGAGAGATATGGATCTGGACGCACAGTGCAGAAGACGACGCAGACGAAACGCTGCTGTTTGTGCTGTGGTGTTAATGCTCTCCCCCCCGGGGACAATCACTCACCGTACGCACAGGCAGTATGATTACTCGCATCACTTATCAGCCCGATGGAAACCTTGGGAAGCATTACGCGGGCCAACCAAACCCATCAAACTCATGCCACGCAAAACAGAGTGCAGACTGTTTGAAGTGGGCTTCACATGGAGGTCTTGCGTCAAGACAGAGTGATGAGGACGGCGTTTGATTTAGAAATGATCAACGGAAAATAGGAACGCTCAATCATAATAAAGAATATATACATATATGACACTTACAAAACATCCTGCATCGATTGAGCTGCACTTGTTGCACTCACAGTCTCTTCACATGTTATGGCTTGTTTTCTGTGATGTTTCTTTTGTCTGAAATGAGCTGGTCTACTTTATAACGATTGAAAGGCCAGAGAAAGAAGCAATCTACATACGTTACATTTCTTCATGTCGCTCTGCACAGGCTGTCGAGTTATGCCCGGGAAGGTTTCGAATGGTTTGTTCTGCAGCTGACGAAGCCGAAGCACAGCGGAGGGCGGAGCCTCTGCTGGCTGTCACATCGCATCGCTATCTAACAATCACACGCCAAGCCACGTATGGAACGAAAGTCTGACCCGCTCAGCCTTTAGGCCTGAACTTTTGGTTTCCTCTGACTCCTGGGTGAGCATGAACTATTATTAGTGTGTGTAAACACACTCGAATGGGAAGAAAATGGGACTTTCTATGAAAGTATTTAATTTTACTGTCACACGTTCAAATTTGTTTTGGCTTCATAGGTTTAATCAACAGCTGTTTGAGGGCGATCGTTTAATGTTATTCACCCTGGATATGATTTAGAAAAGCTGAGAAATTGACTAAACATGTGTCACAGTGACCATGAGAAACCATTCAATTAAACGTTACAGGCTGACACGACCTTTACCCTATTGCCAGAGTGCGGGACATCCATATTATCCACAGGTCACAGTCTTCATGATTGCGCCACACGCGTCCTTGTCTGATCAATATTTCTTGTATTCCAGTGACTGAATGACAAAATAAAGCAGGGTGAAGAAGAAAGCGTCTGGAGCAGAACAAGGCAGAGGGGTTGTCGTCCTTCACACTATTGAGTGGACGTGTAGGCATCAACCTGCACCATTTTAAACTCAGAGACTGTCAAAACATAGTTAAATAAAACCTGTGTGCAGACAGTGTCAATATAGCACAGCCATTTACGGGAGTGGGGACAGAGGTAGCTTGCATGGAGGTAGACAAAAAAAAACAAAGTTCCCTTCATAAAACATGACAGGCAAGCGTCATTAAATTGAGAAGTTGCAGAAACCCTGCTGTGTCGTCGTGCTGTGGAGGTGCAGGACAGAAAGAGACATAACGTCGTCTGCAAATCTGCCTCACGCCAAATTATTTATACTCTCAAAGTAGTAAAACAAATCAAAGAGGAATATTTTGAAGCATCTTTAAGCTCAAGGAATATATGGCATGTAGTGTGTTTAGATTATGTGCATTAATCATTAATACACCGTTTTTACAATGGCTGCCACAAGGAGTTTACAGTCAGATCTTTGTGCATTTTAGGATTTAGAAACTGTATGAAAATTGTTAACAGGGCCAGAGGTGTCAGACGGTTTGTGGATTTTTTAAAGGCAGCCTCTGTATGTCAGGGGACAAGGGGAAGACTTTTTCTCACCCCAGAATAAGCTCTGTTTGTGAGAATACGGCGTCAGTCCATTAGAACAAAGGTTGTTGTTATTTGGTGGCTGAATTCTTTTGGCTAATTATGTTATTGCTGTCGTTACTACGGGCAGATATTTAATTGGAGTTCTGTTCATTTTAGCAGGAGACAAATTAAATATTAATATCAAATATTAATATTACTATTACTTGTACGTAACACAACAATTTAGTAAATCTTTGTGTATTTTTATTTTAGAATAAAAGGTATGATTTTGCCCTCCTCCCCACTGTGATCCTTTTCATGCAGTCTCTTTTCTAACCATAAAATCCACCCATTTCTGTCGGGATCTTGTCCTTTTCTAACTCTTATGTTTTCGTAATTCTTATTGTATAGGGAAATTGTTGGATAGCGAGTGTAACATTTTAAATTGGCAACTGCAGAAATGAGGTACTTAGGATTTTATGAGTCTGTAAGCTTTTGAGTTGTCGGCACAAGTGGGCAATCACTTAAAGGAAATTGGAACATTGCTATTTGTGTGGTTCTGCAGCTTCCGCAGAAAGGCTTTGGCTTATTACTCACTTATCATGGACAAAAAGTGATCTTCTTCTTCATAACCACGACAAACCAAGGAATGAGTTGCAAATTATATCTTACATATAAAGCATTCATTTAGAGTTGGTTGAACGCTTGAAGGGAAATTAATTAGTCACACTCACAGTTCATCACATCAAACATACCAATGGCACGAGTTCCTCTGATTGCAAAGCTACTGAGGCTTGCCAAATCCATTTAATGCTGTTGTCTTTCTTGTAATAACAATGTAATAAATCGTTGCTTGTGTAAAGTGAAAAGTTATCCCTGATTGCTGTGCCAGTCATTCTAAACATTAGACCTCCATGTGATTGACAGATATTTACACTCAGTACCTATAGCTGCTAAATGGAAATCTCCCAGTCCCCCTCTCTTTATGCTATTTTCCTCTTTATTTTTTTCTTGGAAAACAGTATTCCTCAGTTGCAATCACGCAGTTTCAGTCATGCAATTAGTTATGCAACAGCGATTTGTCCGGTTCCAAGACTTGATTGTTTTTTTTCTCATTTCGGTATGGAAGAGGCAGCCAGCACAGTTTAGATAATGCAAGACCGTGTGCACCAATTGAACATAGATAAACGTAGACATAAGCAGAGTGTGAGGTAGGGCCATTGTGTCCCATTCATTGTTTCTGTTCAAATAGCACAGATTCCATGTAATGATGACAGAGTTAACGCTTCAAAACTAAGCGTAAACGAGGCAGAAAGTTTTTTTTCTCCACGTCAAGGTCTAAGGCAGCTCCTCCTCAGATAGAGCACGGTTAGTCATCGCCGTCATCCACTGGGGTTACAGGCGATGGCCGAGCTTCTGTCCTTGAAATATACAAAGCCAAATAGTTGACTGTCACCCTGAATGCTGAATGCTGAATGCTGTCCACAACCGCCGACATCTGCGGAGCAGAAGCGAGTGGTGACAGTACTTCAAATTCAAGCTCCTTGTCGTGTTGATTAAATTAAGGTTTGTATGAAAAACAGAATGTCAGTGTGAAGTGAAAAATGATGGTTGTGACCTTTTGCAGAAGAGGAGGTGGAAACTGACTGAATTCCACAGTTGTTCAAGGCGATAGTTTGGATTAAAGTATTTGTTGATGACTGTGTTGGACTGAGGTTAACCGAACCCATTCCAAGTGCTACTGAATGTCTTATGTAACGACACAAACGGGCACAGAAATCTTATAGACATGAATTAATATCAGGGTTCCCCGTGAAACCTGCAAGAAGAAGGAAATTGGATTTGACCTTTTTGGGAGGGAAAAAAAAAACTCGTAACAACGTTTAAAAAGACTTTATGCATTTTCAAAGGCTGCAGGAATTTGGGCAACAGAAGCTCAGGTCAAGGTCCACAAGTCTGCTGAGGATTCTAGTGTAGGTTATTTACTGTCCAGGACCTTCTGAAATGAGGGGACAGTGAAAAGATGGAGAAGAAAGTGCATTCATACCGTCTGAAATAAAGGTAATACGAGGTCTGAGAGAGAGAAACGCAGTGATGAGGCAAAGAAATGTTGGTAAAATGTGGTTGTCAAGGAAACAGCTGCCTAATCTCCATATGAATCTTTGTGAAAGAGCAGAGGAGAGCCTTTCCTTTAAAGCTGCATTTTGCCGTCCTCTGGGAGGACTGCTGTCCTCACGGTGACACATACAGTACTGACATGTTTACAAGGCAGCAAGGACATCGCGTGCAGCTTGCTGGACCACACCTGAGAGACGTCTCAACCAAATCATGGCATGAAATAAAAACATCACAATAGAGTGATAAAAGTAAGCAAGACGGATTTGGTCAATGACAAGGAGAAGCTAGTATGTGAGTGGGCCACTGGACGGCCCCACAGCGGATCTGGTTACCCTAAAAAGGCTATTTAATGTCTTCAGTGGGGAAAGGTGAGGTGCAGAGTATCGGGCAGGTGAGTAGAGGAAACTAGTGCACTCTATGTGCCCACGGAGGCCAGACGTTCCAGGTGATATTAAAACGTTTGGTGAGGCAATTTCGCTTCATTCACCACTAAGCAACCTTCACGGTCACTAAGCAACCAATATGATGATGCTAAGTGTCAATAAACACAACCACAAAGTGATGTTTTACAACCCGGCAACTGCCCTCATGGACTAGCATTAGAACTGTAATCTTATTTTCAAAATGAGGCTCGAGCTATTTCTTTAATAAGTAGTAACTTTGAACACGTTGTGAAGGAGGCCTTTTTATCAATGAATGCTACATTTTTATCACTGGTGTCATAGGGAATATTATGACAAAACGTTAATTAACTTTTGTAAAATCAAAATTCTAGCTGGTAATTTGTCAGTAAGAAGTCTACAGTTTTACACAATTGAATAAACAAAATAAAAAAAGCAAACAGAAGATGGTGGGGATCCACTGAAACCTTGACAGCGACGTACATAAAAAAGAAATCCATGATTTACAGAACATTCCCAGGTGCTACATGAAGAACATTTGATAACAATTTTGTGCTGTTGCAGCATTAAAAAGCGACAAGAAAGTCATTTATTATTTTATCTCAAACCTTCTGCACTGTGGTAGTAACTGTGAGTGGCACATAGTTTATCAGTAAATAAATATCAATTATATCCATATTAGGTCTAAATAAAGCCGCCGCTGTACCAGCACAGTGAAGTAAACTGTTGAATGCGGGACTCCGAAGCCAGAACCTCTGAGTGAGCAACAGAGCGGCTAATTGCCATCTGAGCTTCCTGTTTTCCTTCATCCGCTAATGTTAGAGGCAAAGCGCTCAATGGGAGAAGGCCGGCTGGAATCCAAAGCCCTCATTAGATCATCTTTGGTAGATTGTCGTTTGCCAAATAGCACACTGGAGCCAAGAAAACAGAGGTGAGGATGAACAACGCAGCTGTCTCGACAACTGTCATTTCCCTGCTGGTCCATATAACAATAAAGGAAAGTAAGTAGGTGGGGATGGACCTCCAAACGTATCACAGCTTTGTGGGCTCAGTACAGCTGAGATGAATCATCTGATTGTAGGGATGGAGCTGTAAACCGGGATTTATCACTACTGTTCTGTTCTGTCAAGGTATAATAAGGTTTCTGATGTGACTTGTAAGGGCTGAGACAGAAAAGTAAAATAACTAGATTCATATTGCTAGCATTCTGTGTCTTATTTGTGCTGCTAAAATCATCTCAAATTGGCTTCAAGTCTCCCTGCAGCAGCATTACAAAGTCAAAGATTGTTGCAGTTAAGTAAAACAATGATTGTTTTAGAAGGAGAGAATGTGAATAACCTGTCTTAAAGGTACCTTGAATATCATGTGACGACGTTACTGACCTTAAAGTGCGCTACAACATTTACAAAAATGTTAATAATATAAACATCAGCTTTTAAACAATCTCACAACACACCAACTATCACCGTGACAACAGATGAGTCTCTGTGTGTTTGTAGCAGCCAGCGGATATTGAGGCAAAGGACTCCTCTCCGTGTGCAGCTTATTGTTTATAGCCCAGTTTGCTAGTGATGTGTCGTTCGTGAACGATTCGTTCATTTTGAACGAATCCTTACAAGGACTCGAGAGTAACGAGTCCTCTCAAAAAAAGATTAGTTTATATTCTTGTGGCCACGCATCGGGACTTGCATAGGCTCAGCCAAGGGAACAGAAATGATTCGTTGAATGCAGGTCATGTGGGAAATGATCCTTCTGCCAACCAAGTGGTACCAGTGTGGAGCCTATGCAGGTCAGTGAAAAATGAACGATGAACGAATCATTGACCCGAAGGCTACAGTTTGCAGCGTCCGCGACTGGATTGTTTCAAAAGTAGCCAGTTTACAAGCTAATTCAAAAACAATAAAAAGCTCAAAAGAAATTCAGACAATAACTGAGATTGCATTTTGGGAATTGTTTTTTGCCTCTTTTACGTGCATTCAACCAAAGACAGTGAGCCGATAAACGAGCACCTCTCACACTACAAACTTCAACCCGAAATCTTTTACCTGCTTCCAACCAATTCTGCATTTGAATGTAATCAGGCAGCTTTGGACGCTGCTGTCTCAGTTTTTTTTCACCCGCTCAAAGCTCTGGAAGGTTCATTTAATAGTTTCCGGCGGATGATGAGAGGGGAGCAGAATTTCCATGAGAATATCTTCAGCCTCATTACACATGATAATGGTGTTGTCAAGGAGTATGAAATGGAGATGACATTTTGGGCCTTATTCACGGCCATTTGCATAGTGCATACAAAGGTTGTTTTTATTGGTCTAATTTAAGTTCTGAATCAAGCTATTGTACTCGCCCGCCTTCAGTTTATTGCTATTTAAAAAAGGACATTTAGCCACGAGCAAGGCTGTAGACTCTAGTTGGCCACGTCTAGAAATAAATTACTCCTGAAATTAATCCCTGTGTCTTCAACCAGACTGTGTTCTGCAGATTAAAGCATCTGGTAACACGAGCCATTTGGTAGAGCACATTGATTTCTTGGGAAGTTGGATGTTTAAAAGCAGTCTGGAGGATCCTTTACTTTATTACTAGTTCTTTTCAGACACTGGCTAACCGCCGCTCTTCTTTAAGGCTTATGGGGTTACACACTCTCTCTTTGGCTTAAGTAAGTGGAGCCTATGGAGTCTTCATATACACTTTGTATATCTTCATGTTCACTTCATATATATACTGCTTTTTATTATATACTGAAACCTTTCAGTGAAATATTGTTCTATTTTAAGGTTAATCAATTTGGCAAAATAGAGACAACACATAGAATGAACTAAAAGGATGCGCTTAGTTAAGTGCAGATGCCTGCCAGGTGTGTCTGCAACGACCCCTACTGTATTCTGTGAGCAAAAACCAGCCACTGTGGACAAACTCCCCTTCTAGACACAACTGGGCTGTAAAACAAACTTCAATCAAACTGAGAAACATGCAGCGATGCATACGAGCAATGAGCCTGATGTCTTCGTATAAGACGTGTCCATGCACTGTTAATAAAATGAAACTGGCCCGCTGTTGTTAGGCGGCGATGCACTCAGCAGTCAACCTGCTGGTAGTCTTGTTAATAAAAGTGAGCACACTGACAACAGCACTTGTGTTTTCACCGGCAACCCCTACCGGCCCCTGGTGAAGTGTATCAGTGGGTGAGGAGTCAGCAGGCAGTGACTGGCCGCATCAAACGGTTAATAGAAGGTGCGTCGAGAAAGTGAGTCACAGCAAACACCAGACGTCCTCCAGCACGAGGCCGTAACTGGCCGCCCACATGATGGCATCACTAACTGTGAGGCGGTACTCAGAGGCGAGTCTTTATACACACTATCATGACCGGCAGTCAACTCAACGTAGTCCAGAAAGAACCTTACGGGAGTTAAACCACTGTGGTCCGGGTCATTTCACCCAGAATTACGCAACCATGCACGACATATCGTGTACTATTCCTTCTACCCCTCCCCTGGAAAGATTTTCTGAAAACCATCTGAAAAGTTGCAGGTGATCAAAGCTTGATCTTTGGGATACCTACATTTATTTCTCAAGATGTCCAAACATTTTTTGCGAGAATATATGATATATCCAACAAACAGGCGTCATTCCACATTCAAAAGCTAGTTCTCAACAGATTTAGGAGCAGCCAAACTCCAGCTAAGGGTTCCCCTTCTTTGCATTATTTACCCTCCATGAGGCAGATTTATAGGGAATTACTTGGCATGGGGACTTTGCATCCTGAGCTGAACACATTCTAAACCAAAGAGCGACAGGGGTGAGTCCAGGACGGCGATATTCCTCCAGTCTGACATGCTCTCAACTTCACATGCATTTCATCCCAACGCTCTTGAGCTAAGTGGTGAAATGGCGTTTTGCGTTTTTGAGTGCAAAAGGAAAGAGACTAAAAGGGAGGCAGTCAGAGGTTTTGATCATCCGTTCCCTCTCTTCCTCGATGCACTTTCCTCTACTAATTAAAGCCAATGTGACACTTTCATCAGACACAGAAGTAAAGGGGAAAATGTAACATTTGGATTGTATTTACTCTTACTGCTGATTCAGTTGCAACTGATAAAAAATAATCCTCTTCAGTTTCAACAAAAACAAGAGCAAAAGAGGGATTGGGAATAGTGCAATGGTAGCATTCATGTGTTGGCCTGCTGTCTGAATAGGCAGTTACATCTGAATGATTCTCGGATGCACTGATGGTGCTATATTCTCTCAAGTTATTGTTTTCACAACCTGGAGGTCATACGGTTTTTCCAAATATGAAGCCAAATTAGTTGAAATCTGATTCTGTTTATCTCGCTGATCTTTGCTGTGCGTAAAAGGTTAGACCCACAAACCAAGACAAAGTAGACAACAATTAACCACCATACCTACAACAGAAGACCGCGTTCATGTTGAAAGATGACAGTAATGTGTGATTTCATCTGACAGAGATGCAGTTGTGTCCAAATGTTCTGCCGTGTGGTGAAACAAATGAATCCCGTCTGATAGACTCTAACTCCTGAGGTGTGGTTGGTTGTTTGAAACAGATGGAGCTGTGTAAGTAGTGGATGTTCGTACATACAGTTTGTGATGGATTGACAGCTTTGTTCTCAAGGGAAAGACTGCAAAATCTATAGTGAGTCTACAAAACAGTGTCTTTGATTTACTTGACATGATGTATATGCATTTTATAGATGATGTTAATAATAAACTAGTCAGAGCTACATCGCAGGAGCATCTGAACACTGGAAAATCTCACAATGATTTAGTATACATTATAATAATATAATTGTCATTTATATATCTTTGGATTTATGATCTAGTCAAACTTCAGCTTTGATTTCAAAGCCATCTATGCATGGTTTACATATGCAGTCTCGTTTAATGCAGGTCACTGAATCATCCAGGCCTGTTTTAGGTTTAGTCTTTTTTGTTCTGTAATTCAAATGTTGAAGTCTTCTAAATGTCATCTCTCATGCAGTGATTGCAAATACTAATAGAGCTATAAGGTTAGGAGTGCTAATCAAACACTAAAACAACATTCCTTCCAAATCAATTTAGTTTCATCAAAAGTTATTTATGAAATGCCATGAATTGTTTCTATTATTTGAGAGCATTATTCATTTGGGGTACAGTATGAAGAATGTTACCACCTCAACAACCTTTTTTTTGTTTTCCACCACCTGTTGTGGACAACAGGGAGAATTACGTTACAGAATCAATTAACAAATTAGAAATGTCTTATTTGTGCTTGCCAATTTTTTATTTGTTTGCCAACTGAAGTCATTTTTTAAATCATCCATTTAACGTGTAGTTGTTAAGTTAAATTTTGGACGACATTCTGCAGCTTACCTTTTAGATTCTAGGATAAAAGGGGAATGACAATTTTAACACCAATGCACCAGGGCAGAAAACGAGTCAGTGTTGATACTTCTAGGGTTCTGCCCGCACATCAACCGAGGACTTCAAGGGCGGAAATTATGCAGAAAAACTAAATGAATGTGGTTTCAACTGACAGGAAACCAGATGGTCGATACTCAAGCAGAGGGTGTCGGGAAGCTTTCATATGCTGAATTGACGGGTTCAATAATGTCCCGTTAGTCTTCAGCCGTACCTTCCTCTGCCTTTTCCCCCCTGTTGGTCTGTCAGTAACATGCAAGCATCTGATTTATTTGTGGTCGGTAACCTCAACAGATACAAATTGAATTGTAGTAACTGATGCTGCCGGTGTTTTGAGTTATGGTGAATTGTCGCCACCTACTGTTTGTTTCCAGTGCTGCTACCGAAACTAACGTAGCACTATTTTCATTGAAAACAATCGTCTTTGAAGGAATATTTACCTTTATACCTTTTAGTTTGTATCTCTCTTGGATTAGTGAAACATTATAGATATAGCAAACAGTTTAGTATAGTTTTTAATTTAGATACTGATACGAATTTAAACAATTATAGGATTACTGTATGATACGCAAATATATACCATTTTAAGAAATATGCATCAAAACAGAACATTGTCTATCCAACACATTGTTGAGCTTGTAGGAAGTGACACTGGCTAAAACAGATTATTCATTTGTCTTTATTAAAAGTGAGTTTAAAAAGCCATAATACAGATGTATGCATTTAAACCGCTGCAATAGTCTGTAGTTATTAACTGGATCATTTTTCAATCATGACAGCACCATGATCGTTATTGTTAGCAGTTATCAAACTCATGTTCATGCTCAATTCAATTCCACATAAATCACACCCGGATCACTAGCAAATGCTTAAACGTCTCAAAATTTCAAGTAAAAATAATTACAATACAATTATATGTTAAACCACTAGCTGCAATAACTCCTTCCCCTCCCATTATGGAAAATAATGCAGTCAAAAGTACTCAGACAAAAGTGTGGCTTCATCTGGAAGGCATCAGCAGAACTGTAATTTTAGAAAAATAACAAAAGTATTTTTTAAATCACACAAACAAAAGACAAAAGTCATTGAAAAGGAGGTTGGGGAAAAACATACCTTCCAGCGGTTACCACACTCATTGCACAGAACAAATGTGGTCATTGGCTCATCAGCACTCCGTGTCTGCACCTAAAACACACACACACAGCGGAAAAATACACATATAACAGTGTAAAGCACCGCGCAAACAATGCATAACTGTGCCTAAAAAATATTGCTGGGTAAAAAAACTCTATTTCAGCAACCCTCGCCTACATCTAATCTACAGTTTTATTAGGGAAATACACACCAATAAGTACACACGCACTTATATACACCACACAAGGTGACCTCCCCCTGGTTTTCTGTGACTTGTGAGTTGGTCATTGGCTGCACACGACCCTTCTCACTACTTCTTACCTTATGCAATTGATTGAACAAACAATTCCTTTTACTTTGCTAAAAAGCCACGTCAACCTTTAGTTGAATAAAATACAAACACAAACACAGAAACAAACACCTATTTATGATAAGAATGTTGACTTTAGAACATGGCAAAGGATGAATTGAAAAGGCCCCGGGTGGTTTGTGGATGTTTGTGCGTCCCTGCGTGGCCGTGTAGAGCTCGTGTTTACCTGGTTGTAAGTGCAGTTCCTCTTCTTGCACTTGCCGCACTGCAGCAGGTCGGTGCTGGTGCCTCCGGTTTTGGCCATTTGGTGCTCCCTTATGGCCTCCTGGGTGAGAACGTTCCTCAGCTGTTTCAGTTCATCGCTGGCCATCTCCTACACGAAAAGAAAAAGTGTCACCAAATGGAGCTAAGGGACGTAGAAGTCTGTTCTGGTCGCCAGGAAATACATTTCGGAATAGATTTAGCACGCAGCCGCAGTGTTCTGGACCTGAGCAGACATGCTGGCTATGCGGCTCAAGTCAATGCTTCCTGCGAGGACGTTTCTGCGAAGCCCGGGGTTCTTTGGGTCCTTCAGGTTGCTGATGCGGCTTCGCACCCTGTTTTTATATTTCATATCCGTGGCCTTTGTCTCCTGGTAGATATGTGCGACCGTGCAGTCAAGGTAGTTCTGTTCATAGTAACAATCAGATGTCAAACGCCATCATTCTCATTCTGTCAATTAGCATTAATGACAAATAATTAGTTACATTGAAGGATATAATCTTCAATCTCGGCAGCCATGCTGTCACAGTTTGTGCCAAAATCCTTGTAGTGGTCTGTGAAGATGAGGAAACAAAATCAAGTCAATCCGCTCCCTACAGTGACGTCTGTGTGCGCTGCTGTTGCACAGTTTTGACACAGTGAACATATTTGAGTGAATGCCCCTCACCGTCTGTGCGCAAGGCAGCCGCAAGCATGTAAATGCACTTGTCTCTGACGGAGTCTCCGGTAGCGAGGTGAGGGGGCACCGGCCCCCCAGAAGAGCTGCCGCTGGGTGACATGGGGCTGGTGGGGCTGGTGGGAGTTTTAGGGGTATCGGCTTTGCCTTTCCTGGAGAAAAGGACGCATCGAAGCACGACAGAGCAGAGCGTGTGAAGCCTCACATCTGGCGATTTTGACCCAGTTTGACTTTAGGAAGGAGACACGTTAGTTTTTCCAGAAAGCCATGAATTTGAATTTGAATTTACTTTTTATATTTAAATTGTTTACATTTTAATGTTGCTTAATACGTATAGCAGCCATAACTAGGGCTCTTTGTACATGTGAACAGAATCCTATTCTTTGCTGTTCAAGCAGCGATTTTTCCTCCATTTGGGGAAAACAGAGCATATCAGCATTTCATCACCTTATAAAGTTGACTATGCTGGTGTGTTGGCAAACGATTGCCAATGCGCAGGCATGCCGATAGCATGACATGGATCTGTGCTTTTGGCCCCCTATATTCGTCTGCTGATGGAAAACTGGTTTTACATTACATGTAAAAAAAAAGAAATGCTAGATTGAATATGAAATGCTCCTGGGTGTCATCATCGTACATTACAACGCATATGGTAATAGTACATTACAACTCATATGGTAATACCTTTCCATGATGTCAGTAGAGGGTTTCCTCTGTGGAGGTCCAGGCTGAGAAGTCTTTAAGCCTTGAGACTCCCTTCTAGGATATAAAGTCAATACCATCTTGTTCATGGTTTCCATAGAAACAATCCAGGAAACTTAAATGAAAATAAATGTACCTTTCAACTGTTAGCTTCTTTGCTGGCGGTGAGCTGCTCTTCTTTGAATCAGTGGATTCCCGTCTACATTAAATAATGAGACACTTCCAGTGAATCTGGTTTTATTGCCAATGACATTTCCGAGCGTGTGAGAGTTAAAGAGATGCATTCCAGTCCTACCTGCCGGGTTTGGAGTCAGTAGATTTATGTCTCACAGGCTGGCCAGGCTTGGAGTCGCAGGAGTCCTTCCTGCAACAAAAGACAAAGAGTTGAGACACAGACAACCGACACCAATAAAGCAAAGCCCTGAGATTATGTGGTGTGGATTAAATTGCAATGTAGAGTAGAATGTATTTTCCTTTTTCTGCACACCTGTGTTTTTCTTTTTTTACACCCAAACTGGGCTTTTTGAGAAGTGGCGGTTTTGAGTCAGATGAATCTTTCCTGACAAAAGGAAACATTTGTTTGATTCTCAAATAAATTCACTCGTAGACAAAATGCACGTCCTTAAAAACTGACAAAGAATTGTTTGAAAAATGTAAAAACACTTTTTAAAAACATTTATACACTAATGGCTGGCCAACCTTTCACTCTTGGCTTCGTCAGAGTGTTTTTTAGGCACTTTGCTTTCCACTGAGTGTTTCCTGTGAAAAGAAACTGTCTTTGAACAAAAATGATATCTCAATCTTTTTTTTTACAGTGATTTACTGTAAATCAGCTTTAAGTAAAGATGTAATGGAGTTATAAAGGGAAAATAATAGTAAAGTATGTACCTTAAAATGACAAATTCTGTAAATTCACCTGTTATGGCGTCAAAACTATTCAATAAACCTAAAATGTGAGGCTTATCTGAATCTAACACAGTCTTGAATATTATAATTCAGTATTTCTTCTGCAGCAACAATATCTAAAATTAGCAAAAAACAGAAAAAGGACTCTGAGGCTGCTAAATCTCCTGAATATTTCAAGGATGAACGAGAAACGGAATCGCTTCCAGATCCCAGACCTTTCTCTCTTCACGGGATCTGGCATCTTCTTCTGTGGAGGAGGTTTAGAGTCTGAGGACTCCGTCCTCCTGTCACAAATAAGACATGGATTCATGGAGTCACGTTATTTTTCCAAATTGATAATTCGAGACACCGCTGACTCCATGCGTCCTGTAGTGATATCGCATCTCATCCTGACCTCTCCTTTTTCCCGTCCAGGGAGGGACTCTTCAGCGGAAGAGGTGGGGGGTGGAGGTGAAAAGGAAGCGGAGGAAGAGGAGCGTTTGGGTCAGGAGTCTCCTTCCTAAATGACAAAACACCGTTGATCTGATCTGTCAATTTATGATCCAGCGGTTATTCGTGTCAGACCATGCAGCTGGTGTGCAGACCCTGACCTGGCTGCAGGAGGATGAAGATGAAGAGGAAGAGGAGCTATAGGAGCGTCTGGGTCCGGCAGAACTTTCCTGATGTGAAAATCAACATTTGTTTCAGTATCCAAAAACATTTTGTCTGCACTAAAGTATTTCAAACATGCGCCACAGCCCGTCTGACCTCTCTTTCTTTACTTCCAGGGACAGTCGCCTGGCCGGCGGAGAGGCGGGCAGAGGAGCATGGGGACGAGGATGTCGGGAGGATGAGTCTTTACTGTCCTTCCTGAACAAATGCCACAAGAGCACAGATCAGTGTGACTCAAGAGGCCCCCCATGCTGTCCAAGCCAAATGCATCACCTCCGTCATAAAGACACACCTTGCCCACTACAGCATGCACCATGCACGGCAGGTAACCCGTGGGTCGGTGTATGAGACCGTAGGAACAAATGTCAGCGCATACGAGTGACTCACAAATGGTTAAGTCATGCAGTAGTGCTTCAGTCCATCATGCTCTTCAGCTGGGGCGCTGCAGGCGTCCTGACCTGTCTTTCTTCAGGTCCACAGAGGGGCGTTTGATCGGGAGGGGAGGCCGAGCGGGTCGAGGGGGAGAGGGGAAGCGGGTGGGGTAGAGAAGGCTGCTGTCCATCACTCCCCGCCTGAAATAAACAATTCACTCTGATGCTCTGCTGGTGTGTTTTTGGTTTTGTGTTAAGCAGTTTTTGAGGTCACTTCCGCCTCACCTCTCAAATATGGGTCTCTCTCTCTGGGGTTCACTCGGAGGTTTCTCCCATTGTGGTGACCTTATCGGCCTCTCGTTTCTGTTTTCTTCTCCGTGTTTGTCCTTCCTTGTGTCATCTGCGTAGCTGAGCCTCTGGGGATCCTTTTTGACCTCCTCCACGTGTCTCTTCTTTGGCCTTTCTTTCTTTGGTTCTGTCTTGGATCTGTCACCCTGTAGGTCCCGCGCATGCGGCTTGTTATCTGTTACCAGGAGAGGATCCTCTGCGTGTCCTGGTTTTTGGGGTTCTTTTAAATGCTTCTCTTCTCTGATTTCTTGGTGATGTTTTTCATATCCAGGCTCCTCCAGGTGCTTCTCATCATCACTGGGATCATCTGCGCGTCTCGCTCTGCGTTCTTCGTTATGTTTTTCTTTTCCACTTTTGTCGGGTTGCTTCTTCTCAGGACTTGAGTCGTGTTTTAGTTTGACGTGTAGTCTTCTGTGACTGACAGAAATAAATTAGGTACCGTCTTTAGCTCCGTTCAAGTGCCTTCAAACATTTACCAGTTTCACTTAAGTCAGGTGTGCTGTTGCAATACAACTAAGGCCCCATTTGGACGACATTCAAAATGAACCAGGAGGCACTTTGATTAGGGAAAAGGGGAAAAGGGTCTCGGTCTCGTAAAGTGTATCTTTACTTTGTCCATCGTTGCATTGTTTGATGGATGTGGACGGATGATATTACTCTACCTCTTCAGTTGTAATACTGTGCGCTCAGTTGATGAAACAATACACACAGCTCTGTGTAACAACTCAAAAATACATTATTGGATGCAGACAACTATGCAGAAAAGACTTAAATTACAGGACCAGTAGATCACATATTTAATATTCACGTCCATCCCCCCTGAGAGAATTTAGATCAATAACATTAGAACTATCGAAGCCTCTTCAGCTGGATGCCTAATACATATGTATATATTTATACATTTTTCTCTTTTAGTGTCTTGTTGTAATTATGTGGTACGAAATTGCAACATGAAAATGTATTTGTACAGAGTAACTTCAATAAATATGTTGCATCTTGAATTGAATCTAAAATCGTATTAAATGTTGTGAATTTGGACTTGCAATCATGACGACCTTGAAAGATTACCAAATAACAGCCTCAGTCAATGCTTCATTGACTGAGGCTGTTATTTATCATGTTCCCACACTTTACGGTTCTAACGTCCTCAACTGAACAGATGAAAATGTTTGATGCTGTGCTGCTGGAAAATCAGTTATGAGATGACGCTTCTTTTATCCTTGGATTCTTTTGAATTGTAGTAATGTAGCACTGTCCTTGGTGCTGAATGTTGTCTTTGAACACCTTGATGACGTGAACACACTTACAGCTGTAAGTGGGTGGAAAACTGTTCTGGGCAAATAGAGTGATTCATAAGCCTCCTTTACAAAGCAAAATGGGGGGTTCTGTGCAGCAGCTGTGACCATACTGACCTGCTGTGTGTCTCAGAGGGGGGGCCCTTTGGAGACACTGCTGTTTTACTGGAGTCCAAACCGTTATTCCTCTCAGCTGCTTTCTCCAGGTCTGCAGTACATGTGGGGGGTGGGGCGCATATCAGGAAGTCATTAAGTGCATTGGGGGATTTATTTCACCGAAAACTATCGAACTGCTCATTAAATTGTGTATCAAAGTCAAGTACCCAGAAGTCTTTTCCAGTCTTTAATGAGGAGCTTTGCCAAAGCAATAACTTCCTCGTCTGTGGAGTTCTTCCTGATACCGTTCACAGACATGCCGATTCGTGTTTCCTTAAACAAAGACACACAAGGAAATAGAGGACTAAGAGTTGAAAAATAAAAGTGAAACTGTACTTGGATGGGGACTACACACTGGACAATATGCTGGAGCTTACCTGAAGAAGTTTGAGAGTCATATTGAAACTTTTCAGTTCCCTCAGCAAGTCCAGGGCGCCCTCCTGCACACAACCAGTAGTCAACATCTAATCTCTTTTTTAAGTACAAAAAAGTCAAATGCAGATGCAAATTCAAACATAAAGAAACACACAAACAAACTGATGACTAAGCAATAATAGTTTTTTCTTTTTCAGTATTTTCAAGTCCTGCTATTGCAGGCAAACACATTCCATAAATACAAATCATGCATTCAGCAGTTGTCTCACTATTTGCTTCATTTCTAGAACTCGTAGCTTTTTGTTGACTGTTCTGCTGTCGTTACAGTGTCGTTACAGTTGTCGCATGGCGCTGTTCCTGAGCTCTTCCTGAGCGCCATGAGACAACTGTTGCTCTGCTGTTCGCTGTCCGTCACAACACACGCAGACCCACGACCTTGTTTACCTTCGGTTGCACGAGTCTGACAAAAACGACAAGCAGCAGAACGTTTGTATAAAAAGTCGTTGCCGAGTCGAATAAACGTGCTGCGGGTGAAATGCATTAAAAAAAGTAAAAACCTCGCTGGATACCTGTTGATCATTTGTTACTGTCTGACTCGGCTCATGGCAGAAAAGTGCAAACCGATTCAAACCCATCGTCAAAGTAGATTCGGAGGGAAACCATTTCCATTGGAGCCATTCGCGATCTTTCTGCACAGCACGAGGCGGTGGGTCAACGCGCCACCTTCAGGTGTCAAAACACGGACTCACCGTGTTATTCCGAGACACCATCTTGTCCAGTTTTTTGGCAATCCGGGTGAGATCTTCCTCTCGCGTCATCGCTGCATCTACTCGGATGGAAACGAATCGACGAATATCGCTCGGATCCTTTCAAAAACAACGTGCAATGTGGGTCAAACGCAGTTTGCGCCCGCTGCAGACTTTCCGCACGGCGCACGCTCCATTCCGCGCGGAGGCGTGTCCTGCTGCGGCGCGCACGCTGACCTCCGCGACGCACGACAACAGCCAAATATAGACCGACAAATGGACACGATGCGTTCAACGCGTATCTCGTCCTCGGATATATAAGTTATTTCAGAGTATATAAACATTTATATAGTATATAAGAGTCAAAGCTCTTGAGAGCCTTTTGCACACATGTGTGGGGTCCAGCGTGTGGTCGTAGTACTGCTCCACGTGACCTCCACTCTTGTGTTTTGGCAGCTTCCAGCTGTTATTTGATACAGTAGCAAAAGCAGCATTTGTGTTACTACACGAGTATTACACGATCACTAAATAATATGACTTCTCAAGCCATTGGCGCTGGTAGTGAGTGTGCAGATGGATTTTGTACATCAAGGTTTTCACTTTATCCATAATATGACCATAACATGACCGAACTAAAGGGTCCTGTTGGGAATCGTCCTGTCTGCGTGTGTGTGTGTGTGTGTGTGTGTGTGTGTGTGTGTGTGTGTGTGTGTGTGTGTGTGTGTGTGTGTGCCGCCAGAGGGCGTCGTGGTGTAAGACTCTCACACAAGTTCACAGCTTCGTTAATGACGGTGAACTTCTTCCCTTTTTTAACTCAAAACGCTGAGCTTGCAGAAACCATCACGTTTTTCCACATTGGCTTCCATTCAGTTCTTCAAATATCAATGTGAGGATTTTCCTTTCAGCAGCCTATAATCGCTGAACACTGAAATTATAACAATATTTGTTTTGTTTTTTCAATAGTAAAGTATCAATCTTCTTATTTCCAATCTGTTTCAAGAATTGTGTCTGTTGAGGCTGTCGGGATGTTTTAAAAAAAAAGTAGAGAGAAACCCATTCAGTTTTGAAAGGATCCTATTGAACTGGAATAATATCATTCAAAATAACACCAGCCTGTAAATTCAGAATAATAATAATACATTTTATTTATAACGCACTCTTCATCAACACATCGCGACAGCGATGGCAAAACAGGTAAAACAAAGTTAAAACATTGGGGGAAATGAGTCATTTATTAAATGACATAACTCAATATTACCCAAGCAAGTGCTTTCTACAATGTTCTTTTGTATCCAATGTGAAAAAAAACGTGTTTGCTTATAATCATTTGACAACTTCTTGCACGCAATCACTTACAGACTGTTTTCATAGCAAATCTCTTCCAGCGGAAACACATTCCCACTGAATAAAAAGACATGAAGGTTTACTCCCACAGGCTACTGGGAATGGAGCCCCGCCACAGTTCACATCAGAGACGTCCCTGCTGCTGGAAGTCTCCACAGATGAGGACATGGGAGATGCAAGTCTGTTATTGAAGTTAGATCAAATATCCGTGGGATGAAGGATTTGGTTTTTTTTTTAACTGCTTTGGAGGCTCACTCGTTTAAGATGGACAGTTAATGTAGACAGAAGTGCTCTCTAACATAATTGTATATCATTGCAGAACAGTTTGGGCAGGAAAACATAAACATCTGCGAACGGTAAAGTGTATTAAAGTATTTCAGCAAAAAAAAATTAAACGCATCCCATTAATCTAAGAGCAAACAGCGAGGCCCCTGTTTGTGGCTAATGGCTTTTAAGGTAACTGTGTTAATGACTGCAGGTGAAAGTACAGTCTGAAAGCTTGTCGTGAGCAAAGAGTATTATCTCTCTACAACGCTCTTACACAACAGGCTAAGCGCATGACCCTGTTCCCCCCCCCGAGACCGGCAGGTGGAGGTATTGCAGGTCAAGTGGAGAAGTGGGCCAGCTACCTGGGTCAAGAGAGGAAGCAGGTCAAGAGGAAGGACCGGTGATCAAGATCAACCCGCAACATCCTTTAAACTCTTGTCTACTAAACCCCTTTCGGCTTGGGGCGTCTCTGCACTTTGACCTCTTTCACAAACAAACAGATCAGGCGGAGTGACAGGCTAACGCACAAAACATCACAGCACTTCACACCTGCAAAAACAGCAGAAATTTTGCTTTTGACGTATACCATTCATTGAAGTGTTTATTGACCCCGAGCTAAGCTAGCTCGTTAGCAGTAAGCTTGTTAACGGTTCCGTATGTCCACACTGAGCAGTGTGCAACGTTGACTTTTCATTTGTCACATTCTGTGTGAACCTGAGGAACGCCGACCAGTGTTCACCAGTTCGCCCTCTATTGTAGTTTGGGCTAAAACCAGACTCTGGTTCTTATTTGTTGAGAAGGAATAGGTCCATGGCGTTTTGTGCAGTCAGTGAATCTCCCCTCTCCCCGGATTCCTGGTGGTTACACAACTACTACATCTGTGTGCATTCCCATACGATGCCCAAGAGCACTATGAACATCCGCCGCCGCCGCCGCGTTGGAGAGTCTATCATTACCATGCGCGATCCGACCACATCAAGTCCCATCTCGTCTTTGCTTGTGAAGGCGCGAGGAAGTCAAAGGCCTTGGTCGAGCTTTCCAAGCAGACAGAAGAAAGTAGTCCCTCACCTCGAACTGTACTCTATGGGACATCTCACATTGTCAACACAGGGAACGTCCACCAGTCCACTCTCCTGTCCCAGCTCCTGCCCAGTGCCAATGTCTCTCCAGTCGCAGACCAGAGACGCCAGACTCGGGCAATTATGGCAATTTTTGGATGACATCAGACCAGAAAATGAATGATTTCATTTAGTTGCCATTTTTTTCTTCTTCTGCATCTGTTGAAGGACGCAGAACCTGTAATAGAGCATGTCAAAACAGACTGGGAGAACTGTTTAGACTTCACATCTGCACTTGGCTGGACGGTAATCGGTGGGGTTGGTTCGTCTGCTAATAATGACCACTGTTTGGCGTTGGCACTTGGCAAAATGCGGGATGAATCTCGCAAAGAGGTTGGACCACCCAAAGACTTTGGGAACATCCTCGTGTTGTCAGCTGTCTCTTACTATTTACTGCCACACGCACACACACCAGATCGGATATATTCAGAACCGTTTTGGTGGAGCCACCATTTCAGGCCGCCATTGACCAAAATAACTGCTGGTGCCTCCGTTAGACACAATCTAACCAAAACAATTAGATGACTAAGCAGATTAAATATGATTCATGCAGATGTGTTCAACCCGGATGCTGACTGTAAAAAGTATCTTTACTGTCAGTCACCAGAACTGCAGATCATGAAGAAAATCATTCACCGTATCGCTGCACTGTGAAGAGCACAAAGATTGATCTAAAGGCAGAAGAAAGCCCAAAAGGAATATGTGAAATATGTACTATAACTTAACCACAACCGTCAATTACACTTGGCACAGAGTACAGACACTGAGTCATATGTATAGCATGTCTGCAAAAAGATCCTGTGGTTCTTCCCAAGGCACCGATTTGATCTCTAAGCTCTCTTCCTTTGTGTTTGAGCTTTGGCTTCATGCTGACAAACAAGTGCATAACTCCTTTGGGCTGAGATTGAAAAGGGGAGAAAAACCCTTAAAAAAAAGAACCCAATTAATCTGTCCTGCATGAAAGAGCAGCTGAAAAGCTGAAAAACAGTGAAATGGGTCCAACAATTGTAATTGCTAAATAATCTAGCTGTTGACAAACATCACGATGCGCAAAGGCATTGGGTCAAGCTGTGCTAATTAATGAAATGAAGTTCATACGCCAACAGCCCAGATAGTGTTAGTATGTAAATCCCCTCTTACTCCCATTTCCTCAACTGACCACTAATCCAATTAGAACACCATAGTTCTCTTCCTTTCCATTTCTTATAGACAGTTTTATTTCTGCTTCCCGTTGGAATTGGATTATGTTAAATGTGTTCAGCAGGAACCTCAGTGAATTTGTAGACACAGGGAACTGGATTCAATGCAATATGGCTTTGTAGACTTCTAAACTCACACAGATGTCACAAATTAGTTCTGCCTTTTTTTGGAAATGTTTCCAAGTGTGTATTAGAGAGAAAATATATCTGTCACCAATATGGTACTAGCAATGTCACACAACACCCCAGTCCAAGGCGCTGAAGTCTCATCTCTATAGTCGTCGGCTTTATTAAAATTTGGTTGTGCATTTTAGCAATCCATGTAGTTTTGTGACCGTGTTAAGGGCATTTTATTTCTTTTGAAAGAATAGTCATTATGGGGATGAATACTCAGCTGTGTAATGTCTTCTGCTGCTCTGGGTGAGCTTTGCCAATTAACCCTGGTGATGTCATCAATGTCTGCTCCTGTGGGCCTTTACCAGACAAGGACTCTCAATTAAAAAGTACTTCAAGTCAAGTTGCATTTTGAGAATTCTAGGATCAAGGACTATGAATTGTTTCTACTTCAGCTGCGTTACTTTGGATGCATTACCTTTTTTTGGAAACCCTCACAACTCAACCTAAGTTTAAGCAAGTGCAATATTTGATTTTCTTGTTTGTTTAATTCTCCCAAAATGTTAAAACAATACTGTGCATCGCAGCCGATAAACCAAACAAAATGTGTACAGCATTAAATAACTGAAACGGTGCACACCCTCAGATGCTATAAGGCTTCAGCTGTAGCTGTGCTATGTGAAATATGCTGAAGCTTTACGTGTGACACAGCTCATGTGAGGCTCCAGACATTTACGTTCTCCTTTGGGTGCGTCAGCATGACATGTTGCTCTGTTTTCCAGTGGTTGTCATCCAAGTGAAAAAATCACATTTTTTACTGAATAAGCTTACAGTGTTTCTTGTCTGTTCACCTGGTAATAATGATCATAATAATAATAATTTCAATAGCTGTATATGTTGAATTCATGTTTTGTTGGATGAAATAACCTTTTGTATTCTTTTTTTTGTACATTTCACCCCCTGAAAGGACTGTGGGAGGAAATCAGGCAGTTCCATGAAAACATTGTTCTGTTTTGGTGTTTTGAGAAGCCTCAGAGTGCCTTCACAATGCGTTATTTAAGGAGCGTCTTGGGGTAGAGATAAGAAAAGTCTTATGATAGACTACATTGTTGCCTCCTCTCTGGTGTCTTAACCAGACACGATTGTGTGTGTGTGTGTGTGTGTGTGTGTGTGTGTGTGTGTGTGTGTG